GGCTCTCCGACTCCTCCCGGCCTCCTGGAGGAACTGAGATGGTAGGGTAAGTCAGCCTGAGAGAAACGCCTGAGGATGTTTGCAATGTGGAAGATGCTCTTTTGTAGATAACGCGTTTTCTGGGACTTTGTCCGTGCCTGGGGCCTTAGAAGGCAAATGGCCCGGTTGCAGCCTGCTGTCCTAGGTAACTCCTTTTCCTTATCTCCTCTAAGGGCACACAGCCATTTTTGACATCTGTCTGTCAAATTCACAAGGCTCTCCCTGAATGAGCCTGCAATGTTCCCCCCTGTAGAAGCCTGTCAGCTGCTTCTGTTCCCCTTTGCACCATAGACTGTAACTGCTACAACCATTAAGCTCCCTCTTTCCCCAGTCTCTGTAAAAGGAGTACTTCCTTGGCATGCATGAAGTTGATGGTATTGTGGTAAAAATATATGGTCTGTACCCATATTGCACTTAGTAAAATATGTAATATCTGTGCAACGCTGTTACTGAAGAGATGCTAAGTGACATTTCTGTACTATGCATAAATGCTTCTCGCACACATTATTTTACATCTAACATTTTAACAAAAATGCCAATTGCTTTTTATTTTTCTCAGCTATACTGACTTTGCAGAGCCTGAGCATAGTTTGGTTTAATTCTTGCTTTAATTTTGCTAAAAACCTCAGTGGTGACAGCAGATCAATACAAAGGATCCTTTTTAGTTGACAGATAAGAATCTGAAGTTTGATATTTAAAATTTTAATTTTAATTTTGTTAACTTGAGGAGCTCGGTATAGGGATTCGCTTTAAAAAAGGCACACCGGCGATACCATAGTGGAAAGTGCAGTTGAATGGAGTTGCACTTTAAGCATGGAAAATGGTTCAATCTTAAAAAGTCCATGCCAGGGTCCAGACATCAAGTGTCCTATGTTAGTGTGCATCACTGGACTAATGAAAATACATCATTTTCTCTCTCTGGTTCTGAAATTGGAGACTGCATATTGTTGTCAATGCCAGAAGGAACAGAGACTAGATCTTGGTTTAAATCATGTATATTTAAAGGCTCTTTTCCCCCAGATGTATGTATTAATTGGGAAAAAAACGGGGGGGGGGGGGGATCTTTTGAAATAAACCAGATTCCTAATGGAATAAGAAAACTCCCTCCAGTGCATTTTCTCCCTCTGTGTCAGCTTTTATAGTTCTGTTTCTGGCACGCATCTTTTGAGATTTCTTTAAAGATTGTTAAGAAATTTTCTCTTACACCAACAAACAATTTTCAGAGCCCGAACAAAGCTTTAATAAAAAGCATCTTGCACAGAAGATTGGTAGTCAGGGAGGGAAAGGGGCAAAAGAGGTTGTAGGGAGGCAAGCACAGGGCTGCTCTGTAATTTGTTTTTTACTTTCTAAGATCACCAAAATGTAAAACTGCATTTCAGGCTTGTAAACAATTGGGTTTTTTAGGAAGGAAATGCTTGTGTAGGGCATGCATGTGTAAGGATGCGTATTGAGAACTGCAATCAGCAACTTCATTTGCACTTGCAGGGTTGTGTTTAGGAATGTCAGGCTGCCATTAAGGTGCCCTGTCTCAGACTGACTCAGCCTGTTAGCTAGCACTCAGTAAATGGTGAAGAACAAAATCTGAAGGAAACCCTTAGAGGCTCAGATAGTGCTATAGGAAGCCCCTCCCAACAGTACTTGGAAAGCCTGGAAAATCTACAGTAGACCAAGTGTTTTGCTGAAGCTTTAAATGCTAGCAAAAAGCTTTCCAAGTTTTTACTGGCAAAAAGCTCCTGGACTCACCTGCTATTTTTTTTCTTTTCCCCTTAGGGGTGTACAACGAACAGTAAGTGGGAATACCTCTGTACAGAGTTCAGCTGAGCTACCAGCAAAATTCCTGTCTGAGAGCATATTGCATTACAGGCTCAGCAGACCAGTAATGCTCTCTCGAGTCTCTTGTTTAAACATAATGACAACACTACAGTCTTTTTCCAAAATACTTTGGGGTGGGGAGACGGCGTGGATGTGTATGTATGTGTATGTATTTGGAAGTCCATGCCCCAAAGGTGGAAGGAGCAAGTTTCGCATGATGCACCTTCAGGATTGAAGGTAAAGGAAATACAGGATGCACATCTGGAACTGCTATACTAATGAGAGAATTAAGAGAGCACAAAGCAAGCACGGAGCATACCCATAAAACAGAAGGTCAAAGCTTTTTTAGCTCTAGGTCTAAGTTAAAAAACACATTTTGGTAACTTATTATGCACCCAGAATGTCTAAGGTATTGATTATTCACGGGGTGCCCAGGAGTGATGAAGGAATGCCACTTTTGATCCAAAAGGAGTGGAGATTAGCCATATTAGCTTGGTGCTTTGATCACCAAGGGAGGAGGGGAGAATCATTGAGTATTAAATGCTTTTTTATACTTAGTAGGAATGGAGAGCGGGGAAGAATGTAGCTCTGCAGAGATTTTCAGGTGTTTTCAACAATAACTGTCTAAAAATGTACGTTTTCAAAATACGCTGGGAGACTGTCTTACAGGAGGTAATAATTTCCACAGTACTAAAAATTGTTCATAGCAGATGTTAAAAAATGAAACTTTTTGCTTTTGATTTTAGTTCCGTCTATTTTGTGGTGTAGAAACAAGTGTTTGTTCTGCGAGTTTATTTATATAATTTTGTTGTCCCTTTTTGCGCTGGTTTGTGTAAAAACCAACCAAACAACAACCAACCAACCAAAAAGCCCAAAGCAAATGAAAAAGTAAAAGGAAAGGAGAGGAATTCACAATACCAAATATATGTCATAGTGGGAGATACATCCAGCACTTGAAAAAATGTGTATTCTTTTATACTGGAAGCATCCTTGTCTTAAAATCTCAAGAAAAGAGCAAAAAGTAAAGGCTCCAAGTCTGCCACATCTTCTGCACATGTTTAACTTCAGGCACTGTCATTGGTTTTGGTGGCAATGTGAGGGAGGTCAAACATATGGTAAATCCTTGCAAAAATTAATCTAGGGCACTGTTGCCTGAGTGGTCTGTGGAGTCAGTGCTTGTCTGCAGGAGCCTGTCTGCTGCTGGTGTTTTGGTTTTTTTTTTTCTCTCCAGCTGTAAATCTCATTTTTAAAGTACTGGAGTATACCAGACGCTTTCCAGATAACACTCCTCGATGCAATTATTTGCAATAGCTGCCAGGAGGGTATTAGGAGGTCTCAAAGGGGAGCAGAGTGTCTGCAAAACCCACTCTGTGTTAAGATATGGTTCTTGCTCAAAAATACACCAATCCCTGGGTTAGGTCCACATAGCCATAGCATAGACTCAGAAGCCTTGAAGAAAATGTTTTTCCTGTCACTTGCTGAAATACTGTGTTTCTGTCTAAGTAAAACAAGATACAGAAGAAGAGGGAAGGAGCTGGGTAGTGTAGGTTTTTCCTATATGTGTAATACTCTGATTAAATTCATCTAAAATGTACTTAATTTAAAAACTCTGCCTAAACCCAGATTTGGGCGGGTTTGTTAAATGCATTTCTGGCCCTACCCTGCTTAGCCCGTATCTATGCTGTCACAGTCACAGAGCTGTAGAGTCGGTGCTACTTAAGGAGATGGCTTTGCACGCTTCCCTGACACGTCTCAACACAGAAGTGACAGCAGAAGATCTGATGTGGAGGAAAGCTTGGTGCTCTAAAACTACTGTTCTTACTCTATTCTTGATATTTGTTATTCTGTTGGGCACTAAATTGTGGCTCCTGTTTTCATCTCTGGATGGTGCTTTCCTTCATAAAGAATTTCTGTTGAGATCAGTGCTGAGAGGTTGGAGATGGAGGGAGTGTGCTCAGCAGCAGCATTCATCTCTCATACACAGGTTGGACCTTGTGTAGTGTACTGCTGAAATATCTCAGGGTCTCTAGATGTATTGCCCATGGCATTTGCTTGACTATCAAAATTATATCCTAGTTGTCTTCCAGTCTTTTACTTGCTTTGCTTGGAGAGCTGGGAGCAGGAGTTGGAAATGACTCGTAGGCAGCAATGTCAGCACAGAGGGAAAACAGTTGAAATAACCTTACAGCAAAGGCAACCTTTCTTGGTAGCAGAGGCCCTTTATTTTTATGCCTGCTCTTTGCCAGTAAAGTGAAATAAAGAAGGTAAAGAAGTAGCAAATTGTATTGTGTGGGGTTTTTTGGGTTGACTGCTTCCAGTGTGACAGTTAGCCCTACCAAAAAGAGCGCATAAATGTTGTGCAACAGCTCTGTAACAAGTTTCCAGGCATGCTGTTTCTTCATCACTTACTTTTCTGGGCTTGTTTTTTCAAATCCAGCTGAAGTTCACTTTAGTCCATTGGGAAGGAGTGATTTCTGCATTGACATGAAGAGGCACAGCCAACCCCCCTTCAAGAACTAGTCACTGGGCTCCTGATTGAACTGCTGAGTCCCAGTTTGCGTGAATGAAAAATGAACTTCTTTAATGACACAATGAAAATAAGCACTGCCCAGGTCTGGTGAAGGAAGTAGCATTTGCCTTGTGAGCTCTTCTTTGGCCGCCCACTGAACGGCTGAAGGAGCTGAGAGGTGAAGGACCCCGGTATTCCTCCCCTAACAGCTCAGAGCTGCCTGGGTAGTGCCAAGGTTATGGGCAATTACTCTCTGTCAAAAAAGCCTACGACTCAAATGTACTCATTTCTTGCAGTGTTTAGTCGAGACTATAAAGAATTAAAATCCCTGGACTTCCACTGCCATGTCCTCTTCATTACAGGGCTCAGACCTGCAGCCCCTCCTTTGCTAGCATGGCTTTGACCGCGCATCTCTGTCATGTACCCACCACTAAAGTGACCAGTGCTTTCAGAGTATGCTCTGAGACAGATTTTGAAATACATGTTTCCTCACTCTCACTGGTAAAAATGACTGCTTAACCCCCAACAAACCCCGAAGCCCATCGTGCTCCATTAACAAACGGGCTAGCGGGGTGCTGTGCTGCGCAGAGAGCGCTGTGTCCGCCCACCGCTTACTGAAATCGTGTGTTTTGTCTTCCAGACTCCGACCTGAGCATGCGGACGCTCAGCACACCCAGCCCAGCATTAATATTTCCACCGAATTCCCCCGGTTTCCAGAATGGCAGAGGGTCGTCGACGTCTTCATCCTCAGTCACTGGGGAAACTGTTGCCATGGTCCACTCGCCGCCTCCAACCCGTCTCACTCATCCCCTCATCCGGCTGGCGTCCAAGCACCAGAAGGAACAGGCCAACATAGACCGGCTGCCCGACCACTCCATGATCCAGATATTCTCCTTCCTGCCCACCAACCAGCTGTGCCGCTGTGCCCGTGTGTGCCGCCGCTGGTACAACCTTGCCTGGGACCCGCGACTTTGGAGGACTATTCGCCTGACCGGCGAGACAATCAACGTAGACAGGGCTCTTAAAGTGCTGACCCGGAGGCTTTGTCAGGATACACCCAACGTATGTCTCATGTTGGAGACGGTAATTGTTAGTGGCTGCAGGCGGCTCACAGACAGAGGACTCTACACCATTGCCCAGTGCTGTCCAGAACTGAGGAGGCTGGAGGTGTCTGGCTGTTACAACATCTCCAATGAGGCGGTCTTTGATGTCGTGTCACTGTGCCCAAACCTGGAACACCTGGATGTGTCAGGTAACGGGAAATATTTCAGTACGGATGCGCCTGATTCTAAAAGCCTCGTGCGTGTCAAACCCCTGCCCCCATGACTGCACGCTTCCCCTTTCTGTGTCATCTTTCGAAGTAGGAACGCCAGTCTCCCAACACAGTACTGGTGAGACAGGCACTGCTAGAATCTCAATGCCCCAAATGCCAGCAGCACCTCTTGAGTGGCCGGGCCTCTTCCAATGGAGACGAGTTAGCAGAGATGGCCCATTCAAAGAGCATGAATACTTTTTATAGATTTTTACACAAAGCACCCTTACAACGGCCCATGTTGCAGTCAGTGCTCCATCATATGGTGAAGGTTGGTTACTTCAGCAAAATTTGTTTTATCTTTTCCATATATATATATATATTTTATATGTAGATTATATATGTAATGTATATATCTGTAGTCTGATAAGTGTTTTGAGGAGGAGCTCAGAATCAGTGCCAGGCTTTTGTCTGGGTATAAATATCAATTGTCATCCCTAGCTAAACTTCAACATCCCCTTGTTTCCATTGCTATTTTCATAAGACTTAGCTAGCTTGCTTTTTTTATTTTTAGTAGTGTATAAATTTGCTTAGTGGCTTTCTGCTTTTTCCTTTCACCCAGTTACAATGTATTGCTGCAGCTGTTTAGATCAGCAGAAATGTTTTAGACAATTTTCCTTAGACGTGTTCTGGGGAAACAAGATGTTTTTTTCCCAAGGGCAGCCACACAGAATTTCCTCTCTGCAAATAGGTTGGCACATAATGGAAAGGATACAGCCAAGCAGAGCACTGAAGTAAATTCGACGTTCAGTACTTATTTGTGGTCTCACTTGTTATGAGTCTAATCTTGTTATTAATCAGCCGGACCAGATTTGCCATTGCAGGGTGTCATGGTTTAACCCCAGCCAGCAACTAGGCACCACACAGCCACTCACTCAATCCCTGCCACCCAGTGGGATGGGAAGGAGAATTGAATAAAAGAAGTAAAACTCATGGGTTGAGATAAGAATGGTTTAATAACTAAAGGAAAAATAAAATATAATAATAACAACAATAATAATAAAAATATAAGAATAATAATTGTAATGAAAAGAAATATCACCACAAAATAAAAGAGAGAAATAAAACCCCAAAAAAGACAAGTGATGCACAATGCAATTGCTCACCACCTGCTGACCGATGCCAGAGCAGCAATCCCCCCCTCCCGGCCAAGTCCCCCCAGTTTCTATACTGAGCATGACGGTCTGTGGTATGGAATATCCCTTTGCCTGGTTCGGGTCAGCTCTCCTGGCCGTGCTCCCTCCCAGCTTCTTATGTGCCTGCTGCTGGCAGAGCATGGGAAACTGAAAAATCCTTAAGTTAGGATAAACACTACTTAGCAACAACTAAAACATCAGCGTGTTATCAACATTGTTCTCACACTAAATCCAAAACACGCTGTACCAGCTACTAGGAAGAAAATTAACTCTATCGCAGTTGAAACCAGGACACGGGTACTCATGGCAACAAGCAGGATGAAGTAGGGACAGGAAGCAATGCTATCAAGTCACTGGTACCCAGATAAACTGATTTTTCCAAGGCTGCCTATCTGTTGTACGCTGATTTGCTTTCTTTTTTCTGCCTTTTATTTTTTTAACTGATTTATCCAACTCTTTCACCTAATATTCCTAGGATGGCAGAATGTCATGGAAGGCATCAAAACAAATAGCAACAAATCAGAATTATTCACTTTTTGTGATTGCTCTCTGAAACCGCCAGGTGATAAGGAGTCTCTGAGGAACTCTGTGGGAGTCCTGTCACACGGAGTCTTTTCGCAATGACCTTGCATATGAATTACTTATTGTTGGTACATACTGACATTAGTTCTGGATTGCTAACCACACATTCAGGTTGAAACCTCTCCAACACCAGGAGAAAATATTATGTGCCTGTGTGATTTGGACCTAGAGCTACCTATCACTTTGAAGGCTGGCTGTATCCCTGGCATATTTATGCTTTTCTTACTACATCCTCCAGGGTAGTATCAAGAGTTGAGTGGCTCAAGTATCCTGGGCCTGGAGAGAGAGGACAAGTAGAATTGCTGAGCTGAGGGTGAACTGCCCTGGCACACCAGTCGGTTAGCTGACACCCTGAGTGCACTTGGGGGCTTGTAGGTGGCTGAAAATGCTTTGGTCCACAGCTCCTACTGATATGCTATAGACTGAAGGTAGCTTTTTTTAAAGCAGGGAAAATGAAAAGATGATACCAAGTCTCGAAGTAGGTTCTTTTGGGGTCTGTCTTCATTTGTGGTTTCCCCAAGCCTGTTACTTAGAGATGGTATCTGTCCCTAAGACGTCATCAGTTTGGTCCAAAGTGTGTAGAGGGCAAGTAAAATACCTGTCTTCCTTGAATTTTGTCTCATCAACAGGACAGGAAAGTAATTTTAATCTCACATTTTTCTAAGTTGTCCTTTCTTTTTGGAGCAGGTGAGGGAAAAATCCTGGTTTTGAACACGCTCAGAAGTCAGGGTGCTTGGGTTCAGACATGGCTTTTGCTGCATGTGCCTGCATATGAATTGAGGATGATTGATCTCTGGGGTCTTGTTTTGAGTCCACTTTTTTTCATTCTGGTGTGGGTAATTTTGGAAGATGTTTTGGAAGCAGGATTCTGTTTTCCCTTCCTCCTGTCTGTAGTTAGGAGGACAAGGCTTGCACCTACACACTCAAGCAATTCTCAGGACTGAAGTGGTTCACCAGTTTGGTTTCATACTGAGCAGGAGAAGTTGGGTACATATGCTGGGGGATAATGCTATACTTGTAGCTAGTTAATTAAAACCCAGTTCACAGTTGTACATCTAGTTGAATCCCTCTCCCCCTTGGATGGTTACTTGGCAGCAATAACGTACCAAAATCTTTAATGTCAAAAACAGATGTTCGTATTAACTTTTAAGAGTTTTCCACAATGTAAGTTCTGTCACTCTCAGCATCCACTTTGTGGGCAGGTCTGAGATATCTCTAGAAGTTGGTTGAGCCTGACTGCAAGTTATTATCTAACACGCTAGCCAACATTTTTTTCAATCTGTTTGGAAGTTTCTCCTCCCTTTTAAAAATCAGTTATATTCTACTTTATGGAAAATCCTGTTACAAGAGCTTTGTTTTTACATTTTTTATTATTTAGGACAGAAAAATTGTTGCAGACCCAGGAATCTGTCATTTTGCCTAAAAATCAGGCAGTTCTATATCAACATGGACTTTTTCTGGTGAAACCATTTTGAATATCCTTCCCATGAAATATTTTACAGTGTAGCCAAAGTAACTAGACAAGGCAACGCTGAGCTTGTCAAAACAGTGATCACACACTGATGTAAGTGACTCCAACCCTGCTGTGAGACTTCTGACCCATTCGCTTTCTAACTGAGGTCATTAAAGCATTCCCCCTTCTTGGATCCTCAGCAGACAGAATGTTCTCCTCAGCCTCGTGGACCCTTCATTCTCACTTAGCCAGATTTTAAAATTGAATTCTGGTCAGCATGTAAAATATCCAGACTGACTCCTTAATGCGGCAGCCTCCTCAGGCAAACGCGTTAGCGACAGCTATGTCAGGTCCAGCAGAACTCTGCCTGGGTGCCAGCTTCTTCCGTGGAAACCCAGCTCAAGGATGAGGACTCCTATGGTGCATTTTGTATCACCTACTCCAAAGAACATATTAGAGGTGATATTCTTATTGTACTGCTTCCCTTTACAAAAACCACTTTGCGTTATTGAGCATGTATGTAGTACTTATTTGAAGGCAAACGTATTTCCAAAGATTGCACCATAACATAGATGGATCTGCAATGCAGTCTGAAGAGGAAATTGCAGCATTCAGTTTTAAGAAAGTGTTGTTCATTGAACAAAGTGCTTTGCTTCAAGGTCCCAGAGCTTCTGTGTGACCTGTGGACAATTTGCCTGTTTCATTGTGTGAAGCCTAAGGCAAAATTTGCATCTGTTCAAATAAATTTGAAGCCTAAATTAAAGACCCAGCTGCAAATTCAAATTATGAATGTAGAAATCTAATTGCAGGTGGCAAACTGTTTCAAGTCCATATCCCATGCTTCTTACAGCATTTGTGTGAGCCCACTGGGTTATCTCAAGGGAATTTTTTTCCTTTTTGTTTTTAAGAACTGAAGCGTATTCATACCTTCCACTAAGCCTGTTGTATCACGTGGTATGGGTTTGAGTCATTCAAGTTTTTGAAGTGGTCTCCATACCTTGTCATGCTCTTTCCTTCTAGTCTACAGGATTTGTGCAGAACTAATGATACATGGAGCTCTAAGGTTGTCATCCTAACTTTTCTGGCTTTTCATGGGTCACTTCATCCCCGCTGGCCAGTGTTTCAGCAATACAGAAAAGCTCTTTTTATCCCTACCTGAGGGCACCTCTTTAGGTATAAGCTGCAGAATTTGTCTTGGACATTTACGGCTAAAACTGTTGGGCCTTTATCACTAACAGGTAGATCCTCCTTTTTTCCTTGCAGCTGTTTCTAGCTATGCTAATGCAATGTGCCCAGCTGAACTTGGCACAGATAAGAATTTCCCTTCAGGAGCCCGAGACTGCCAGTTTGCAGTGCAGCAGAAACAGCACTTTCCAAAAAAAGCTTTCATTTACCACCATGCACAGAGTGGAGGTCAAAAATGGGGGAAGTCTGTGAGCCTGTTTTTCCTTTAATCTAGCTCTTTATCTTTTCTTGCAAGGTCTGGTGTTTCTCCTGTAGTCTAGTTACCCCCATTCACAGTCAGACTTTCTCACTTGAAACAGTCCTTTTCCGTGTCTGTCCGTGTCCTCCCATGCCCTTACCAGTCTGTTGGATCCTGCTGACTCTCCCCAGTCTCCTTAGGTTACCCCAATCTCCACCCTTCTGCAAGCACATAGTCTTGCCATAGTTTTGCATCCTTCCCACATTGCAGGCTTGGGGCTGGATTCACATCTGTTCTGCAAATGCTTTTTGGAGGGTGGGTGGGGTTTGTCTTTTTTATAATGAGGTTGGATGGTGAAAGAGCTTCTGATGTTGGTTTACAAACTCAGCCAGTCAGCAATGAGACTGCCTCTGATCAAAAAGCCGCGTTGGGTGTCGTGTAGTACCACTTTCTCAAATTGTCACTGGGTTTATATTGCACTAAGAGATCATAGACTGTCCCTAGATAAACCTAGGATCATCATTTTACGTTTGGGATATGGACAAAATTGGGCTGTCGCTTTGCTGGCGCTCAAAATCCCAAAGCAACCTCACTGACTCTGGTGGAGTTTATTATTACCTCTGGTGTAGGGACACATCACAGCAATTCCAAACTAGTCAGGATGATTCTGCTCTTGCAACGTGAAGATATTTTCATCACATCCAGCATGCGATTTCATACCCACCTTTCTGGTCTTGCTGTGTGATTTGTTTTCACCGCTTGCTTAAATTCGCTGTGTTTTTCCACTTAGGCTGCTCCAAAGTAACATGCATCAGTTTGACTCGCGAAGCCTCCATCAAGCTGTCTCCGTTACACGGGAAACAAATCTCCATTCGCTACTTGGACATGACAGACTGCTTCGTCCTGGAGGACGAAGGACTGCACACCATTGCCGCTCACTGCACTCAACTGACCCACCTGTACCTGCGCCGCTGCGTCCGCATCACCGACGAGGGTCTCCGCTACCTGATGATTTACTGCACGTCCATTAAGGAACTGAGCGTGAGCGACTGTCGCTTTGTCAGTGACTTCGGCATGCGGGAGATCGCCAAGCTGGAGTCGCGCCTCCGATACCTTAGCATCGCTCACTGCGGCCGGATCACAGACGTGGGTATCCGTTACATAGCCAAATACTGCAGCAAGCTGCGCTACCTCAACGCGCGGGGCTGCGAGGGCATCACGGACCACGGTGTGGAGTACCTCGCCAAAAATTGCACAAAACTCAAATCGCTAGATATCGGCAAGTGCCCTCTGGTCTCAGACACCGGCCTGGAGTTTCTAGCCCTCAACTGCTTCAACCTGAAGCGCCTGAGCCTGAAATCATGTGAGAGCATCACTGGGCAGGGCCTGCAGATTGTAGCTGCCAACTGTTTTGACCTGCAGATGTTGAATGTGCAGGACTGCGATGTCTCTGTGGATGCTCTGCGATTTGTTAAACGACATTGCAAGCGCTGTATTATAGAGCACACCAACCCTGCCTTCTTCTGAAAGGACACCCCACGCCTGTTGTTACAACGCAGTATTAAAAACACTAACGTATAAACACACGCTCCCATATTCAGTAATGCTGTCTTTTCTATAGCTCACGGGAGTCAGCTTTTCTTGTATGTTGTGGGTGAGGGGAGTTTCTCGAGGACTTTTTCGTTTCCTTTTTGTATGATCACTTTTTAAGGTGCGGTGGGTCTCCATGGAGAGGCTGCCTTAATGCAAAAGCAATGAGTGCTCAGCATCCCAGTGGGGTGCTATTTCCATAACAGCCATGATCTTGTCCCAGGCTACAGTAGCTACCTCCAAAGGAAATAGCACATAATCCCTCCTTTGGAAATGCTACTAAGCTGTGTCAAATACATCTGAATTCCAGCTGTGCTCATGAAGCTGACTATGCAATATGTGTCTGTGTTCCCCAACTTCTTCCAATATGGCTGATAAAGCATCCCCTTGTCTCCAAGTAGTTTCTATTTGGTAGTCATCCATTGTAATCCCTCAGGAAATACTGGGTAATGTTCTTAAACATACTTGATTGAAGCAGAACAAGACCTGCTGGCCGTTGCCGAGCACTCTGCTGAGTGAATTTGGAGATTGTGCCCATGCATGGATTCTCTTGGAAGGCCCACCTCCAGGTCACTCGTGCATCATCACTATTTGCCTTCATTTCTAAATCCACCCTCTCCTGCATGTGTAGTACCACCATCTGGTAGCAGATAGGGACTTCTGGGTCTGATAAGCAGTGATATATTCACCTGAGTGAAGGAAAACAGATGAGATCTTGGCAGCTTGGCAAAGGGAAAAGCCAGCAAATCAGCCTGAGAAGCTGCTGTAATTCTGCAACAAGCTGAGATAGCACTGTAAGTACCCCAGGGACTCTCTGAGGCGTCGTGGAGCAGCTTGCACGGGACGGTCCCAACTGCTGTGGTGCGCGGCTGTCACCAGAAGGTCTGTCTTTGTTCCTTCACTGTATCTCTTCAGCAGCCGTGGCACCACTGCAGTTGACACTCCCTGAGCAAACCAGGCACGTGCGTTGAGGTAAATTTGGTATGTGCCTTAATACACATAGAGACGCGACCCTTTTCTGTGGCCTTCCAGTTCAAAGGACAGATGGCTGATCTCGAGACTTCAAAGATGTTAGATAACACCCCTGGGGGCAGAGGGGCTTAGAGCGTTATTCACATTAGATTTAGATTTTGTGAAACCTTGTTTGTGCGTGTTCCCTTCGGCTGGAGAAACAACTGCTGTTCAACAAGGAATTAGAACGCCAGCGTTGCCCTCTGACACTGGGAGCCCCTTGTAGTCTCATGGTCACTCTTGCTCATGCAAGAGCAAGAGTGATTTGGAGGTTCCTCCATCTCATTGCCTCCTTCCCCAGAGCGTGTGGTCGTTTCATGGTTATTTTCTGGCAGCAGTTTCTCTGCATTTTCACATGTAATGCTCAGATCTGAGAGCCAGACACGTCAGGGGTGATGATATTTTCAGGCAGGCCCCCTGCGCCTGACTGACAGGTGAATTCATACGTTCAGCTCAAACGCTATAAATGTCTCAGTAGAGAACATAAGAAGGGAAGCAGCGTGTCTGGTTTTCATAAGCAGTAGTTCCATCATCTCCAGACAACACTAATAAAATCATTGATATGAAGTGAAAATCCATATGCTCAAGAAAAATACATAACTGCTGAGGAAATACTTGTAGCAATGCTCTCTCAAATTACAAAAAAGCAATGGTTTGGACATGTCCCTGCAGAGGGAACTTGTCCTACTGCTGCAAAAATTCCTGTAACTTATGTATGTTCCACCAGTTTTGAGTTTCTTAACGTACAGGATGTCATCAGCTCTGAATTATAAATCAGATTGTACTAAAGCAAAGAGGGCCATGGAAAATGAATTCGTCATTGCTACTGTTACTGGTCAGTGACTAATAGGGGGTGATACCATCCTTTGGCCAGTTAATATCACTTTGGTTTTCCTTTCTGTATTTTTAAAATAAGAGATTCTTCTCCAGCAAGTAGTACAGTATATTTTATCTGAGCCAGCTATGCTCTCTGTTTATCCTTTATCTCAAAATGGCCCTGAGGATAGTTAAATGTTAAGCCCATTCCTGAGGGTGGTGGGATTTTGAGCCATTTGCACTCATGAAATATAAGGCCTCATTAGTAACATTTAACTGTTTATTAAAAAAAAAAAAGCTACTTTTCTGGCTATGCTAAATTGAGTGAATAGTGCTACGTGGTTTTTAAGGTTTCTAATGTTTAAATTGGCCTGTACTGTACAAATCTCACTATAAAGCCTTAATTTGCTACCAAGAAATAAAGCAATATATTGGTAACTGATGAGTGTGGATCGTCATTTGCACTAATTGACTAACTTCTGGTGAAAAAGAAAAGATTAAATACTTGTAAAACTTTTCTTGAAAGGTAGGTAGGTGAATGAGCACATCAGCACATCAGGTAGGTGGATGACTAGTAAAAAAGGGAAAAAAAAATGTTATAGATTATGACCTTGCCTATCTGTCTCTCTCAAATTTGATTTTCCTCGTGTGGTTCTTCTTGACCCTGAAACAAAATCAGTAATTCGAAGTGTAATTAAAAGAAAAAACAGTATATAAAAAAGCACATGTATCAAAATTTCAGGAGGGCCTCTGCATTGGTTTAAAGGCAAGTTAACATATTTGATGTGAAGAGTAAAATAGAATGACTGGAAAGCTAGAGCACTTACTAGTGCAGTGTTGCCTTTTGAATGCTCTAAAAAACCCACTCCGGGGGGGCACTGGTGGATAATGAATAAAGGTAATTTTTCTAAGCCAAACATTTTTAAGTATATAGTCTTACATGATCAGAGTTGGCACTCCGAGACTGCTACTTATTGCAAGAAAATTTGAATTTAACTTATTGATACAGCTTGCCTGTTTTGACTTTTAACCTTTTTCCTATGTCTACTTGCATAATGATACGACCAGAAAAGAAACTGAAATAGTGCGTGCGGAGCTGAGTTTGCTGAAAAGGTTGCAATATGTGACTGATGTGTCTTCGTTCCAGTTTGGGATTGGCAAAGACTATAAATTTCCTGAGTGAAAATATTGTTGATTCTTGAACCATAAAAATGGGGCACAGGCACTGAGGCTTCTTCTGCTCTGCAATAGCATGTGGCGATGTCTTCAAAGAAAGCAGCGATGAATCACGTCAGTCAGGCTGGCACGTTGTTTATGTCTTTGGAATAACTTGTGTCCTGCAGAGAGAGGTCTCTTAGAAAAGGTGCATCTAAACGACCATGCACTGTGATTATAGCTAAAGCGCTGTATCTAGGTATTCGTCCTTCTCATCCCCTTAGCTTCTGTAAAAAGTGGAATTGTATTTTCCCCTTTAGCAGTATGAGATTGATGCAAAGTGCAACACTTTTGCCTTTTTGAGCTATGCTCATCTGGCTTCCTGCAAAATGCAAAACAGCTTCTGTTGGATGTCTTGGACTCAGAGCCATGGTCCAGCCTGTAACCTTCAGTAGTGGCTTACGTGGTTTCTGAAAACTTCTAGCCTTTGAACTGGAAAATTAAAAAGCTGGTAAAAGACCTAATTATAGCACTAGGCTTGAAGCAGGTCCAAACTCTCATTAAAAAGAAATACAGTGACCATTTGGACTGCAGACTGGCTGCCCCACAGCTGCCAGTGTTAGCTGAAAGGGGAAAAGTTCTCTGCCAGCGTTGGTGCATGGCTCCTCTTCCCCCAGTGTTCCCCAGGAAAGTAACCTGCCCTCGTTTTTTTATAGTTTTGTCAATTTAGCTATCCGTGCTGAAACTTCCCATGCTGGGCTTTGAAAATGTTAGTTGAAATGGTTCATCTGGTTCTGTAAATAAAGCTAGGAGGAAATGTCATTTCGCTCATGTTAAACTCCTGGTGACCTTTCCTTTGAAAACGGTTCATTGCTCTTCATCTCCTCTAAGGCCTTCGGAGTGGAAGCGTGAGCCTTGCCAGGAGGTCAGCTTTGGGACAAGGATGCGTCTTACTGATCTCCCGGTTAAAAATTCACCCAAATTTAGCTACGTTACGTGTCTTTGAACATCTCCAACTCCATGACCGGGGAGAAAAGGGGCACGCTCAGATCTTTTGGAGCTTGTAGTCTGGTGAAGCTGAGATTTGGCAAAGCTAAGAGGCGTTTATCACTCTGGCAGTGTGAAGGAGGAAATGACCTGAATTATATGGAAGCTGCCTGGAAAGTCAGGGCAGGGTTGAAAGATGGGGTTTTGAGAACTGGAACAAGAAGAAGGCTGAAGGAAATTTCCTGGGCAAGAGGGACTGGAACCGAGGTGAGAAGAGATTGAATGATTTTCAGCAAAGAAACTGGCACTGGGGTTAAGAGAGGTGGGCTTGTGTGACTTCTGGAGCAGGGAGAGTTGGGCCAGAGAAAGTGCGACGTACTGAAGAAGGAAGTTTGGGGCAGGAGCAGAAACATGAAGAAAAGGAACTGAACATCACGTAAATACAGTACACTCCCTCGGCGAAGGCTCTGAGAAAGGCTGACAAACTGTTTCAGCGAGGATGCCGCAAATTTGAAACAGCCTTTCAAAAATTAAATAGTAATTTTGCGTTTAAGGCATCCAATATCTACCTTTTTTGTGTGTTTTGTGAAGCCAGAAAAATCTTTACAAGCACAACTTCTGCCTTTACCAGCAAAGGTATACGGAGGCCTGAGACGCTGTCAACCTCGGTGTCTTGTTCCTGCCTTTACACCTCTGCGCGAGGTAGGTCTGTAACATCGATGTTTCCTTTGGGATTGTATTTCAGCAACACCAGCTGTTTGGCTTTGCTAAGGTGCAGGCGTCAGCGTGGAGCCCAATTCGTGCCCTTTTGATGACTGTCAAAGGGCATAATTATAATAGGTTTGAGTTACTGCCAGGCAGTAGACATCAGAATTCAAACTTAGCTGAACAAAAATACATTTAACTGAACAGCATTACTGCATGCTATTAAACAGATTATATCAGTTTTCTCCATAAAATAGCTGAGGGATGTTTATTTTCATGCACCCCTGCTGTACAGCTGTATGCTTCAGAGCAGGTTTTTCCTCTATTTTTGTCTTCTGTGAAAACTGGACAGAAACATCAGGTCATTTTTCCCTTGTCCTCTGGATGATCACAGAGGCGCGCCTGAGATTTAAACTAGTTAATGGAAATCTTTTCCAAGTAGGCTCTGCTAATACAAATTTAAAAAAATATTATGAGTGCAACAATCCAGTTGGCCATAGATATGTCAAATTAAGCCATTATAAATATAAAAGTTACTAAACAGGCACCAGAGGGACCAGAAGGAGGGATCTTTTTAAAAAATAAAAAACCCGAGCTTTTATAAATGACCCTGACACTCTTAATGCAGAACAGAAATCTTAACCGTTCCCTCTAGCACTAAAGATACTGTGTTCTTTGGGTTAGAATAGATTAGTTTTCCTTTGTTTTTTAAAGAAACATTGCATGCTGTAGCCTCAAGCTCACATAGATGGTAGAGATGGAAAAAGTCATCTTAAAAAGATGAGAGAGAATGCAAAGAATGATTTGTGCCAAAAGGAATGAATATTTTTAACATATTTGTGTTGCATTGCCTGTCTTTGATGGCTCCTAAAACATTTTTTTAAAATCAAGTAAATGGCCATTTTTGAGAAGTTTCCGTTACTTCTTGAATATACTCCATTCACATAACTGCCTCAGCAGATAGACATCAGAGCTTTAGAAAAACTGGATTTCTAGCTATAAAAAAAAAAGTGTAGCTAATTTATTGTTTATAATTTGCCTTATCAAGTGTTTTCATATCTTTATCACTTATCATATAAAGGATATATCCTAAACCTTTATCAG